TACCATAGTGGCCATATCTGCAAATCCAAACGAGATATGAAAAAGATGTTAAAACATCTGGATTTTATAAAGAACAGACAGAATTTGACAAGATATTACTGACATCATATGAAAAATTGATTAAGAAACTTTATAAATATATGTTAAGTTTAAAGATGGAAGAGGAACAAGTTAAAGAAACAATGATAACGTGGGCAAAGATTTTTAGACATAACATAGAACTAGAAATTTGTCAAAGCCTTTGGGAAAGAAATTCTAAAATAACAAAGCGTACAAAGAAAAATATACAAAATGTCCTATAGATGGTATTTAACACCAGTGAGGTTAGTAAAAATGTTTAAAAACATATCTAGCAACTGTTGGAAATGTAAACAAAAACCAGACACCTATTACCATCTTTGCTGGACATGCACCAAAGCTAAAAAATTTTGGTCAAGAATATACATATGGTTAGAAAAAATGACAAAAAAAACATTGATTTTAAGCCAGAATTATTTTTGTTAGGCATAATTGTAGTAAATTATGAGAAAGAGTATATATATATCTAATTTTACATGTATTAACTGCAGCGAGAATTGTATTCACTCAATATTGGAAAAACGAAGATTTACCAACGGAGGAAGAGTTAATTTTTAAAAAATTAGATTGTACAGAAATGGATAGATTGAAATGGTCCTGAAATGGTGCGGCCATGAAATGGTCGAAGTTTCTCAGCTCCAAGGCATCATCATTGCAGAAGGTGACCATCCATTCAGCTGCAGTCCCCTCTAATGCCATGGTCACACAGCATACCTTAGCCTCTTTGGTGGCTAATTCTGGACCATATTCTTCCATGTATGTCCAAACATGTGTAAGGAAGACCCCCATTGCCTTTACTCCCAGGGCTGGTGAGTTGCATCCTTTCCACCTTCCTGACACTGCTCCTGCAACGGGTTCAGGCTGGGCTATGGGGCCAGGTGCTGGGGCAGTTGCAGTGGCCAAGGGGCTCTCTGCTGCTGCCATTGCGGTGGCAGAAGTAGTTGCTCTCTCGCTTGCTGTGACTGGAGTTGCCTGGTCAGTGGGATGTGTGACCTGGGCTACGGCTTCTCGAGCTTTGAGACCACCAAAAGTTCCTCTCAAGAACTTTCTGGCTTGCTCCAGCATCCAGTCCTCTTGCTTCAGCTCGCTTGTGCTCGATTCTTCCTCCAATTCCTCCAGGTCCACTCGGGTCTCTTGCTGGTAGCTGCCTCAGCCACGATGAGTGAATGTCACTCCCATGAGGTTTTTTCCCATTCTTCCTTCTTCCCAACCCCGAGGGACCATTGGGATCCTCTCCCAGCCATCTGGATAGATCCAGCCCTCCAGGAAGGGGCTTCAAGGATACTTCCCCCTGGGCCTCGATCTCTTCCTGGTCACTCCCTTGAGCCAACATCCTTTGCATAGTCCCCACGGTAAAGGCAGTTTCCTCTCTGGGTTGATCACAACTACAGAGCTGGCTTAATGTCAGACCTGCCCCAATCCAATCCCTTAGGAAAGAAAAGCCTTCAACTTCATTTGGTTAAAGCAAAGGGTTCTTTTACCAAAAGTGATGGTTGCAGTAAAGTCAAACCAGCTCTGAAATCTATGCTCGCTGGATACAAAAATAAGGTTAGATTTGCCCCCAGTCCATCCCTCCCCGTGACCAGTCTGTTTCCAGCCAACCAGATTTCGCCAAGGTGCTTTGAGAACTCTGAGATATTTGGGGTAATCCACATACTTCCCCCAGCCTCTTTTCTGGCCAGCAGTGGCCTGGGAAAGGCCTCTGATGCCAGATAGGGCCTCCGAAGGCACATGTAAGCTTCCCCCAGCCCCCGTTCTGGGCGACAGCAGCCTGGAGCCCTTTGCTGACAAAAACAGCCCCAGGGGTTCCATTCTCTTTGGCATAGGTCTTGAGGAAAGGCTTTGCCACCGTAAATGGAGGCCTGGATGCATGCATGCGTCCCTCCCAGCCTCCATTATCGGCCAGAAAGGCTTTTTGCAAAGATTGCAAAAGGCTTTGCAAATGGAGAGATGGCTTTGAAATTTCAGCCCTTACCTGCATTTGCAAAGCCTTTTGGCCGCAGTTCTCCACCAGGTCTCCATTTGCAGAGAACAGTCTAAAGCACTGTGAGATCATGCAAGATTAGTAGCAAGAGATCTCATGCCACTGATCTTGCATGATCTTGGAGTACTTTAGGCCTCCATTCTCTGCAAATACACCGAAGGCCTGGAGTAGCCAAGAAAGCGAAGGATGTCTCGATCTGTGGATACTCATGGTGAGTATCCACAGGCTTAGTGCCTAGGGAGACCCAGGGGGAGGGGAAGGGGGGGAAATAGCCAGGATGAATGTTGCAGTGCCACTGCAGTCATTCGTAAGGGTGAATGACTGCCATGGTGCTGGAACATTCGTAATTGCGGGACTTTTTTGTAAACACCAGGGGGTGCTTATCGCATAACTTCAAATGTTTGCTAAGGGAACATTCATAACTCGGTGATTACCTTTCTTTTATAGCTGGATGCTATAAAAGATGACATTGGGATGACCATGGCTGATCTGAAAGAGGCAGTGTGAGATGGGCACAGAGAATACTGATCCATAGAGTGGCTAAGGGTCAGACACAAGTGAATGACTGACAACGATGGTTAAGATCTTTAATTACTGTGAACATAAAAGGAAATTGCTTTCAGTAGGTCTGTGATAAACTGATTCAAAATGTGATTCCATATACTTCCACTGATACATGGGGGATGACATTTTTATATTTTTAAAATATTTGGCTTAGTTATTTATCTTAGTACTGTTTACAACAGGTTGATTGGTCAGCCCCTGCTCCACTTCTGCTCCTTTCCCCAACATTGCATGATTGAAATTCAGCAGTAAAAAGACCCACTTTTATGTATAATCTATAGAGTAAGAAAAGGGGAAAGGGATTCAGGAGATGGATCACCCTCATCCTCACAGTTACTTCCAGTTGAATTATGAAAAATAGGCTGAAGTTCAATGAATTTTACTGTCAATATTTTCAGACCAAACCCACCAAACTAAGGGTAGGAGTAGGACACCTCTGGAAAGTGTGGGACTAGGCCTAAGCTGCCATACCTAAAGATGAAGTGTCAGCTGCCACCTTAATGCTTGCTTGTGCTTTGCTGCTATACGGTGACAGACTGCCATGAACTATGGTGAGAGGGAGAAGGCAAGGGGAAAAATGAAAGTATGTGCTATATCTCTTCAAGATGCTGCTTCTGATTGGAAGAAGAACACAGCTGCATACCAACCTACACATGAAGTGACTGTCCTGAAAACATCTTGCTTGAACCCGATTGGTCATGGGATGGTCAGTGATGGGAGGCAGTTAAGGGAGGAAAAAGTTGAACTTAGGGATTTTGGTGTGCAATTCTCAGTTCTGGTTATGCACTATTGCAATGCACTTGACTTCTAATAAGACTATACCTTTCTCAAAAAATGGAGCCAAGGATCGTTTCTAATTAGAGGTTTAAGTGGCAGCAAATCTGACATGAAGCAAGCGCGTAAGCAGGGTAGACAAAAGTCAGGGAAAGCTCCCTTAGGGAAAGTAGAAAAGAAACCAAGTTGTTAAGGAAACAAATGAGTAAATGTGACCTGAATCAGATAAAAGAAGTTTGACTTGAACATATGGGAAACCTCTGCCCAAGTCCCATCAACAACTAGAACAAAGCAAGGACTATGGCTGATAAAAGGGATCCTGAAGTCCACCCACTCTTTGAGTTGTTTCTGAACCCAGACTTGGCAGCTTCCATCCCTCTGGTTAGTGCCTGCCAGCCTAGCTGAGGAGGTAGGTAAGTGAAGAACACACACACACACACGGACATTGTAACCAATAACATTTGCTGTTACTATATTTTAAATTCACTGGGTCTCCTTATATTCTAAAATAAGAGTCCCCATCCCCCAGACAACGGACCATTATTGATCCATTGTCTGTTAGGAAGTGGGCCCCACAAGTGGTGGGTGAGCTAGCAAAACTTCACCTGTTCATCTGCAGGATTACATGCAAAACCACATCCCTCCCTCCCCAGGTCCATGGTTTTCTTCTCAAACCAGACCCTGGTGCCAGAAAGGTTGGGGGCCACTGTTCTAAAAAACTGTTTGTGCCTCAGTGTTTGGTTGAAAGTGATTTGAGTGTGGCAATAATTCAGGGCTCTGAGTGTATGAGTGAGTGACCATAAGCCAAATCTGCCTTAACAAAAGCAAACTGCTTCCTGTCAGAATCCAATTATATTTCATCTCTAGTTATAGAAAACCCCATTTCTGCCTTCTCTGGATTCTGTCATACGATGAAGGGAAGGGGGTGAACAAAGGGGCTTTATGGCCCTCACTTCCTTCGGTACACTTCAAAGGAACTGGATGTGTGTATCACCAAAAGGGCTAACCATAACAATGGGGCTATTACCTTTCATGTAGTTTTCTCTGAAGTCTCCATCCAGCCAGCAGTAAGGAAAAGGGGGTGGGAGTGTAATGCCTGAGACTGTCGCTGGAAGTAGGGGGTGATTGGGTGGGGCTACTGGGGAACCCCTTAAAACCTTGAATGGGAGAGCTTGGACCCTAAGTCCTGTCTAGAACACCTGCAACCATTTTCTCTTAATAAAGGATGCCTGTTGGAAGAATTATTCCAAGAGTTCTGTCTTCTTAAGATGCAAAGTGGGGTGGGTACTTACACTTCCATTCCCACCTTTAATACTGAAAATTAAAGAAAACGGGCCAAAATTGTTCAATCTTGCCTCTTCTAGCTTATTGAAGAAGATGAGAAAAGTAGTCCCCATAGTGAGTTCACAGCTAAGGCATAATTTGTACTGAATTAAAACTGGTATGTATCCTTCTTCCTATTCTAGTCTGAATTATGGAGCTGGATCTAGAATGTGACCATGATCAGGACAATTCTTGTTTTGTGAGTGAAATCTCTACATGTCAAAGGTGACAACATTTGAGTTTATATAAATTCATAGTTCTGTCTTTGTTTTTTTAGCCTGTAGTGACCAGTCAGATGGGAACAATAAACAATCTGATTCATGTCAAAAAATCGGATTTTGAAGTGTTCGATGCTTTAAAAGTTGACTCCCTTGAAAGTTCAGAGACTTCCTATCGAGGTGACTTTTTTTCCACTTCTAGCATGAACAGTAAAAATGATGAGCTAGTTTCTTTACTCACACTGTTTAATTTTCAATAGAACTTTCTGGTTCCCCTCCTGGAATTTATGGCCAAGATATGTATGTATATCGGCCTGAAGAGCGATTCAAATATCCACCAATTCTTCCTCCCCATCTTCTTCAAGTCATCCTTAACAAGGATACTAATATTTCAGTGAGTAACAGTTCCTAAATGCATATCTGTAGCATTGGCTCAACTAATTCAATATGGCAGGGTTGGGGTGCTCCAGGTTACTTCAATTAAACATTGCCATCTGTCAAGACCCTGGAAACGCACCTTCTCTATCACAGTGCCTACCCTCTGGAATCTTCCCCTTGTGACCTGGATGGCCTCCACCCTACTGGTCTTTCAAAGGGCCAGAAGATGTGGCTCTTCTCCCAGGCCTAGGGCAAGAGTGAGTTAAGCCACCTTGGATTCTTTTATTTTTTCCATTCAAGTCTGGCTCTATCTTGCTCTTTTATTTCCTATTTTTGTTTTTAATTGCAATTTCTTTTTTAAAAAAAAATTATGTGTGAGTAGGCCGGTGTCACTGGGAATCAGGAGGAATACAAATTTAATAATAAGAACAAAATTATAATAATCATCTTTCCCCAAGTTTCATGATCACAAAATTCTCAAACCAGAATCTTGAAACAAGACAACCTATGCCTAACTTTGGTGATATATGTGTAAGATAATTTTTCATAAATGTCCAGACTGAAGTTATGTTTTGACAGATAATTAGTGAAAAGGAAATAGTTGCATGATGAGAGTCCTGTGTTTCTTTCAGTGTGATCCAGCCCTCTTGCCAGAGCCAAACCACGTGATGCTAAACCACCTTTATGCACTCTCCATTAAGGTAATCTAGTGTTGTCTGTTCTTACTGTACTCTACCATATCTTGCTGCACTTGTACACTTTACTCTGTCAACATAAGAATAAAAGAAATTGACTTCTTGTCCAATTCAAGATTTCAGATTTCCAAGCAGGACGGAAACCAAAATGTGAAATTCCAGTAATGCCTGAGGCTTTTAGCTTCTCTACTCCACCCCACCCCCACCCACTTGGTTTGTTTTGCTTTGGTGCCATGGATATAGCATGATTGTTTCCTCTCAGGTTTCCCAGAAGGAGCCATCTTGTATATATTTTTATTCTCCGCTCATTTTATTTTAAAAATTTGGGAGGGAGGTAGAAAATGAAATCATACATATGAAATATTTCCTAGATAATAAAATTGTGTGCATGAGTCTGTAATAATTGCTGTTCTTTTTTAGCTACTCTCGTGTTTTCTCCCATAGGATGGTGTCATGGTACTTAGTGCCACCCATCGCTACAAGAAGAAGTATGTTACCACTCTTCTTTACAAGCCTATTGGCGTCTGATTCCTGCATATCTCCGTAGAGACTCAAGGACTCTTGCTTTTTCTGGATATGCCAGAATACCAGTGGACTACCAGGATGGGTAGTCAGCTTCCTGATTATTTTATCAGACACAAGGTTTGGATGACCCAGCCCCTATTCTGATTTTTCAGCTCAATGAAGTTCATCATCTCCATTCAGGACAAACAATTTGGTAAAGCTACTGAAATCAAGTTTTGGGTGCATTATTATTATCTCATATATTGCAAACTGTGAGATTGGTTTCTTCCTGAAACAAGGAGACCTGTCTTGCAATCTTCCCTTCCACGTTCAAAAAGAAAGTCCAGTGCCACCCTCTTTTCAAATTATATGACCATTGTATACATGATGGCCGTGTGAAGCCTCCAAATAGAGACCTCTTATATTTAAATGTTAACTTCTGTGGAACAGCTCTTATTCTCAAGTATTGAAAGTTTCATTTAGTAGGAAATGAGATGATAGTTAGACAAATTTTGGCCTAGCAAAGTAGAATTGCTGTTATGTTTTCAGTATCTACTGCTGTAAAGCCTTTCCCATGTTTGTCATTCGCGGGTGCCACTTAAGTGTGATAAGGCCCAGTCCTGGACTGCGTGGGTGGCTGAACTGTACCATTCAGCAGCAGCTTCTCCTCTGTTGAGTATGCCAGTGAAAAGAAACCACAGTGTATCTTCTGAATAAATAGAAAAAAATTAAGATTTTTTATCTTTACTAAGTCACATCTCAAGGCTTATTATAGAGCAAGCAATATGAGATCAAATACGAGGAGTAAATTGTAGTTCTCCACACTTTCAGTCTTCCAAATAGAGTTACTGTCAAAAAATATTTGAAGTTCTTCATTTAAAACAACTTACCATCACCATAGTTTTAAAAGCTGCTTCCCACAGGGTTTCCCTCTTCTAGAATATGTTATCTTGCAAGGCCTCCAAGCTGATTTCAGGCTTAAAGGCTTGTCGTGGAAAAATCCAATGAAAAAAACAGGAGACAGCAACACAAAGCAATACTTCTTACTTTAAGATTCAGAGGTTTATTTCAGCAGTAATTTGGAACACACACATAAACATCACTTACATTAAAAACCCATTGCAATGAGGTCCAATGACATAGCAGTTCCAATAAGGACAGCTATAGGCCAATGGCAAATCAATCAGGTCCAGTCCCAACCTTTTTACCCTTTTTCCTCCTAAGACCGTAGACAGATGGTCAGCAATCTTACACTTTATGCTGACTTTCTGCTGAAGATAACTTTCCACGTACTTTGAAAGTGTGGCATCAGAACCATTTATTGCCCTTGAATAAGGCAGCATGAGTCATCCAGCTAGTCATCGCAACTGAGCCTCGTATAGTGGGAAGAAGGTTAGGAACTAGGATGAAACCCGATCTGTCTGTAGGAAGGGAAACGGAAGACTCTGAAGAAGAAGAGTTGTATAGGTTGGTTGTGATCATTGGGGGATATTGGGATCACACACCCCACTGTGGTTGGTGAGGTGGAATTAGAACTGTCTGGGCCTGACATTTCAGAACCCATGCCAAGAGCTTGCGAAGGGGAGAGGACTCCTCCAAGATTTGAGGTAGGGGATCAGCCTGGAGGATTATTGACCCCGGAGATCACAGAGTTAGGGGAGCCATTAAAAATGGATCGGGTTACTTCACATGGTCTGTGATCACCCATATTAGAGGAGGAGCAGTCAGTCCTGGGTACTTCTGGGGGTGGGGAGTTATGAGGGGATGGTGCCCGTGATATTGCCGAGCCTAAAATGCAGAGACCAAGGCGGGTGATACACCTGGTGAAGTGATTAACATATGATGCCCCGGGCCATAGCATAGAGAGAGAGTGATGCTTACTGTGTAATGAAGGTTGATTTGCTCCCAGATAATATAGAAGCTTAGCAGAAAGTTCCCTATTTGGGGGAACCAACTAGACTGCTTAGGTGGGGGGATTTGTAGCGGGGCTAACTGAAAGGCTTTGCAGGAGCCTGCCCAGGGAGAGGGAAGCTTGGATAGCTGCTGCCGGTTTTGGGCACGGCAGGCGTGGATCGGGCAGGAGAAAAGAAAGGGGGTGGTGGTGGCTGTGGCTGTTGTTGGAGAGAGACCAGGTGAAGTCGAAGAGGGATTAGAGGTTTTAGCTGATCCCTCTCTGTGAAGGAGAGAGTGAGAGAGAAGGTGGAATTTTACTGCATTCTTTCACGGGGGATATCCCAAGCAGAGGTAAGAGAGAGAGTAAGGAGAAAGTTGCTGGGGTTGCTAAATTCAGATTTTAACAATAAAGGAAAGGGGGGAGGGGTTTTGATACCGACAAGACCTGAGATTGCGAGCAATAACAGAAGAGAAAGAGAGGCTGGTCGTTACTGCTTTGGAGACTAGCAGCCACCGAACTTTGATTATTGTTACTTGTGCAAGTTATAGACATTGTGGGGAGTTGCCCTTGCGGGGCAAGCTGTTACTGCAAAATGCTGACTACCTTCGTTCATGTTCCTATCACTGCCTGGAGTTGGGGTTTTCCTCACCCCACGTGTTTCCAAACGGTCACTGTAAAATCATTGATGATTGCTGCTATGACTGCCTGGAGCTGTTAAACACCATCACACATTGACTATCAGGGCTAGGGGCTGGTCATCTTTGTTCCTGAAAGCCCCCCCCCCCTTCGACAACGAGAGTCTGCCGCCTCCTCACTTCGCATGAGCTTCTGCTAGAAAAGACACTTCATTAACACCTTGAGAGCGCAGCTGCAGAGCGCGATGGAGGAGAGCGGGACTGGGAGGGACTGGGCTTTGGCAGCCTCTGAGGGGGTAACACTACATCTGCAAGAAATATCATTTGCCTGCAAGCAAGTATTGCTGAGGCTACAAAATAGACTAATAGAAAATTAAGGAGCTAAAGTGTTCTGGGACTTTAGAACTCAGACAAGCATCTGCTATATAACACACGAGGTTTAACAGTTGTTGATAAATAGACAAAAAAGTCTGGATAGTGAACATCACAATACCTGAAGACAATAGAAGACGATGAATTGGAGAAAATCACTAAATACAAAGACCTGCAAACAGAAGTAGAATGACTGTGACAAGAAAAAGCAAAGTTAGTACCCATAATAGGCACCTTGAGTGTACTCTCAAAATATCTGGAGCACCATTTGAACATCATTGAGTTTGATAGAATAACCATTAGACAATTGCAAAAGGTATCTACAGCAGGGGTCCCCAACCCCCTCTCCATCCGTGTACCGGTACTGGGCCACAGTCACTTAGAAACTGCAGCTGGAGGTGCATTGAAAGCGTTTCTTCCACCTCCAGGAATGAGGCAAGTCTGCAGGGGTCTGGACAGAGGTGGGAGAGTAGCGAGGCAGAAGCCATCTTGCTCAGCGCAAAGGTTCTCCAGTGGCTGCATTTGCAACTGGTTTGCAACATCTGAACTCTTCCTCCACCTGCTTCTGCTATCTCTTCTGCCTCCTCCTCCTCTTCCTGCTCCTGCTGCTTCTTCCTCACTTTCCTCCTCACCTCTCCAGGCATCCCAATTGGGGTCACGCTCCCTTTGTGCAACTCTCCAAGTTTGCAAGACAAACACATCAGCCCAGCTTGCAACTGAGGCTCCCCCAAAGCCTCGTTGGAGGAGCACCCCCCCAAGGTGTGTGTGTGTGTTTGTGTGTGTGAGGGTATCTTTCTCAGGGTGCAAATAGGGGCAGGGAGAAGCTACCATTCACCTTAAGCACTGCTTCTCCAAGAGATTCTATCTTGTCTGCATCTTTTCTAAGACCGCTGGGCTCTGTTGCACTTCAACTGGAGTTTTTTGCTTTTATTTTGATGCTCCAAGTGCCTCATGTTTTGGCAACAACCTGCCTGATTTTTGAGGTTTAATTTGGTGTGTGTGTGTGTGTGTTCCTCCTTTCTTCATACAGCTCTCCAAGTTTTCAAGCCAAGCACACTCCTACCCAGCTTGCAATGGGGGAGGGGGGAGAGGAGAAGCTACATTTCCCCTTAAGCACTGTGTTTCCAAGGGAATCCCTCTGTCATTTCCACCTTTTCCAAGGCTGCTGGACTTAGAAGCAGAAAGTCACTTGTCTAATCTAATACAATAATAGAAATAATTTATTTATTTATTTAGAAAATGTACAATAAATGTAATGCACTTGAATCATCCTGAAGCCTCCCCCTCCTCCGCATCCATGGAAAAATTGTCTTCAGTGAAACTGGTCCCTGGTGCCAAAAAGGTTGGGGACCTCTGATCTACAGTATTTGAAACAACTTACATGCTGCAACCATACCTTTAACCACCACGAAACAATCATATCTGCCTATCCCAGGTCCTTGGAAAGAACTTGATAGGTGGAGAAAACTAACAAATTCAGCCTAAACGTCTGATTGATGGTACAACCACCCATCATAATAGTAATGTGTGATGTATCCATTCTCTAATCCTAATCGTATAAACAGATTTTTGCACCATACCCCAAAGAAACAAGATGTCAGAATCCAATTATATTTCATCTCTAGTTATCGACTATGGAAAACCCCATTTCTGCCCTCTCTGGATTCTGTCTTACGATGAAGGGAAAGGGGGGTGAACAAAGGGGTTTTATGGCCCTCCCTTCAGTACAACTTCAAAGGAATTGAATGTGGATACCACCAAAAGGACTAAAGCATAACCATGGGGCCATCAGCTTTCATCTACTCCTTTCTGAAGTCTCCCTTCCACTGGCAGTGAGGAAAAAGGGGTGGAAATGTAACGCCTGGGATTGTCACTGGAAAGATGATGGGGTGGGGTGGGCTGCTGGGGACCCCTTAAAATCTTGAATCGTAGGGCTTGGGCCCCAGGTCCTGTCTAGAACACCTGCAACCATTTTCTCTTAATAAAGGATGCCTATTGGAAGAAATATTCCAAGAGTTCTGTCTTCTTAAGATGCAAAGTGGGGTGGGTCCTTACATTAGACAGGACCTGCAAAATCAGTCCACCTGGAAGGGAGAACCTTGCCGGGGGACTTTGCAAAAATTACCATGTCAGATGGCGGAAAGGGAGCTGCTGCCCCAACTGAAACCCTGCCAGATGTCGGGATCTGAGAGGTCAGATTCCTTAGGAGAAGAAGTAGTGGAGACACGGAACCACAAACCTCGGTGGTCAATGGGCGTTGGAAAGAAAGGCGAGTGGGAAAAGAAATCAATACAATAATACAATAACAAGACTAAGCTATTTATATGGAGTATACAAATATGGAGTGTACAATATATATACTCCATTTATATGGAGTATAAATAGCTTTCTCTTGCCTCAGTCATTTAAATGAATTTGGACATTTTTAAACAATAACTATTTGTTACTGTTGAGCATTTCCAAATAAATTTCCTAATGAGTCAAGCAGCAGAGTGAAATGATTGAAAAGCCTGTGTACTATGCCCCTTGAGTACATAAAGAGTTTACAATGCACTTGCCAGAGTTGATTGCCAAAATAGTGATGAGGTTTGGGAATGAATTCTGGAATCTATGATCTTCTGGGCAATGGTGGTTTGGCAGTCTTAAACAGCCTGGTTTTGTTGCTTAGCTTAGCTGGATTAGGAGTAAACATTGGGTCTACTTTTCTTTCTCCATCTTTTGTTTCTGGTGATATGAATGGATCCATTTCTTTCAAGAATAAATTAATTTAGGCTGCTGGGATATCTAGAAATAAATGATGTAAAGAGGAGATGCTAGCATTTCTATTAGACTTTGTCTCCCACCCT